CGAACGAGAATCGCCGTGAATGCGTGATTATCGACACGCCACTTGTTGCCGTCGCGCGTGATATTGACCCACGATGACGCATTGACACAAAGTGGCACGCGTTTTCACCTTCGCGACAGGGCAGAAATAAGAACGAGGAGACGTTAAAGTCAGGAGTGCGTTAAAAAATGGGCTTTCAACTGTCCGCTGCCCACGACGATTCATTGTGTCGGTCGGAAGAATAGAGTGAATGCGCCGTTCAGAAAAGAGCATCTCCGGCTTTCTCTGAACTGGTCGTGTTAATGAATATGCATCGTTCGCCGCGGGGATCCGTCCTTAATCTTCGATCCGTCCTTTTCATCGCCGTTTCGCGATTTTGGTATGCAGCCAAATGGGGAAATAAAGCGCGTTTCCTTTACAAGTTATTCCCGATAATTGGCGCGAGACTTTTTTCAATTCCTCGAAACGAAATAATTGGCGACGTTCCTGAAATTATTATATATTGCAACTTCTTTGTAACTATATTTTATCGTGACATCTCGAGATCAATAATTCTACATTTTTATTATATTGCATTTAATTTTAGTTTTATACTATTTTATATTTGTTAATGAAATATTTTATCGCGTTATTCTATTTTTGATCTTCCGATGATGCGAATGCGGCCATACGTGAATATTTTAATTTGTAAAATGTTGGATGAAACATTTTTTCTCTTAATAACATTTTCTATTTATATCTTTATTTAAGAAATTTCATTCGTTCGGTTTGTTTGCTTAACAGCTCAGTGCGCGATATGAATAAAACGCGTTGTTTTTATACCGCCGCTGTATACGCGGAGGCGTGAAATATACTATAACTAAATAGACATGCGATACGCGGAGCTGTGGGCTGCTCTTTGTTATTGAATCGCGAACACCGAGCTGTGAATCGCCGTGTGTAATTAGACTCAACAATGTCTCTCCTTAAGGAACCGATAAGGCTGCACCATTTTCGCAAGGCACGAATGCATCGTATCGATGTCAAGGACACGGCGACACAACGCGAACCGAATCGCCGCGGTTTCCGTCGTTGCATTCTACTTGCTTTTTTTGCCCCACCGCGGAGATGTTTCCTTTTCAGGATTTAAAGCATGACATCACCCTCACCTCGATGCTTTTTACATACGTGTCATACAGCGCGCAAGAACGTTTAATCTCTTGCATAACATCGCTCGCTTATGTGTGCATGAAGTGTATTTCTTTTGTAATGTTTTGCAGCGACTTACAAAAAGATCTATGCTAATATCTCGAGCATACTGTGTTTCGAAAAGCAGGAGAATATATTTGCGACCGTATTTCTACGAAGCTAACGATTCATTTTTTGATGTGATCGCGAAAACATTTTCTGTTGGGGAATTTTGCAAAGAACTTTGACGATTATAATCGAATATAATAATCCGAAGAAATGAAGTGTCAATTTTATTTTTGTCGTGCAAAAATTGAAGATAATTTTTTTATTTCAAGTAGGATTTGAGTCAGACGATATTCCTGCATTGAGAAATTATTTAAATGACACAAGGTGTTTGTCACCGTTGAATCCGATGGCCTCAAGCGGTTTTCAAGCGACAAAGCGACAAAGCGACAAAGCGACTCGTTATTTTTCAAGAAGTCTGCATGATTACGAGATAGCCTTTCACTTTATCTCACGAGTTATTTTTTTTTTACGTCTAATTCATCTGCCTCGCGAGCTTAAAACCTGTACTAATCTTTCTTAGAATTCCACGAATTTTATGCATGTTAAGAATACATCTCTCGCAACTTCGGGATTATTATACCACACTCAAAAAAATGATCTTGCAATAATAGCTAAAATTTTCTAGGTGTAAAAAATTAACTAAAACAGATAAATGATTAGCAACTGTTGTGATATTGCATATGTAATTACTTAATAAGTTTAGATGACAGAAACAGAATATATATCTGTATTGTTTGTGAACTTGAAAAAGAAAGTTTCTCTAAAGCGCCTATCTATATAAGATCAATCACGTGTTAGATCATGCAATGAATAACATTTAGCAATGGTACCTAAATTTTTCAGAAGCTATTGCTAGAACATTACTGCTATAAATTCTGTATGTGACAAACAATGTTTTCACAGATACGAAAAATAGCGATACATTCTTGTTGCGATATTTAGAAATCTAACTACATCAGCGAAATATTTTTTTGAGTGCAAACAGTGTCGGGCACTTTAAACCACGATTGCCGCAATAAAACGAGAAGGAATATGCGCGGGACTATCGAGCCGCACTTTATCTCGCGCATTGAGGCAAGTTTGTCTCTCGACACGCGAAAGATAAACCGAGGAGTATAAGCTGCCAAATATAGCCCGTTGCAAATCGCGCCGACGACCGACTGACGACGCGGAGAAATTGTGCATTTCACCCTTTTCTGCCTCTCGCGTTGCGTCCGCAACGTGCGTCGATGCGGGATTTTACGACGATAAAATAAAAGTGCGCGATTCAATAAAGAAAGGAACAATCGCCTAATCGGCGATCACAATCAGTTGCGACTCGCCTAATTACGGCGATTACAATAGTAAATTGCAGCCTCGTTCGTCGCGAAGCAATTAGACTTTCGTGTTCTGCGTGCATTAAAAAAACATTTGCCTCACGATTTCGCGAAAATGTAATTCGCGTCGCGCTTTCATAATCGTCGGCGAATTTGTCGTACCGTTTTCTGCCGCTTTTCTGTTAAACTGCCAAGAAGTTCAGCGACATATCTGATACCCGATATATCTTCCGTGGCCGAAAATACGCGTTCCGAATATTCAACGGGAGGGTAATAACGGGCTTATTCCCGCCGACCACGTGGCGCTTCGCGGATGCAAATCCGCGATGCCCTTCTGCGGTCGTGCAGAGAAGCCGTGCAGCCTTCCACGTAGCGTCAACAACAGTTTTTAACGGACTGTGCGTCCAAGTTCGACAAGTAAAACCGGAGATCTCGCCCACGCCTGCGTGCGTATCGCGTATTTGTCGAGTTCGCATGACTCTTCTTGCGTGTTGCTTCTATTTCATATATTTTTTTTTTTTTGTTACTAAGAGCCACTATAGTGGCCTTTATCGCATGTTATACAGAGCTTGTCGAAAATTCTCCCCGTGCACTTCGAGACTCGGAAGAAACTTTGAACATTAAATAAAAAAGTCTCGTAATTTTATTCTTAATTTATAATACATTTTTTAATGCGAAGCTTTTTTGCAAGAAAATCTACAATTAATTTATCGATGAGAATTCAGTGCAAGTTTCTGTGGACATAATTATGTTATGTCATTACTCCACTTCGTTAGTAATACTTACATAATTGATACCGAAAGATTACGCGCGCAGATAGACTTTATCAAGATGCTAACGTTTTGCGCTGCAATTGCAGCAGTTGCTCAACAATGCGATACGATCGCGGACGGATTGAAAGCACACACCTTTTTTTTATCGGAAGGTTGAAGATAACGGCGCAGAGGGGCAAAGAGGGAGGCAAAAACTCTCGGTGCTGAGCAATGATGTCACACTAGCCAGACGATAGCCCTGAGAGAACGTTTACCCCGCTGGCTCGAAAATAGGTTTAAATGCCTATATATAGCACTTCGTTAAATGTATTGAAACGTCCCGCTGCGACGCTTTTGCAGCTCTCATCGCGTTTAATCTAATAGATAAAGTCGCCCGATAAAAAATTCTATTTATCAACATTCTTGAATACACGCTTCGCCTGGATGCGAGTTCTAAATGCAAAGTATTATGGAAATATTAATCGAGACGTTGCATTAGCCTTGATAATTCGCTCGGCATTTCTTAATTATAACTCGCACCGTAATTACCACGCGATCGCCTTTCGCGCGGGAGCAGGACGCACGATCAGAAGTTCGTTGATTAATTAATCGCCAAGTTTCTCGATTAAAAGAAAATGAAAACGAGATTTCGTCCGCTCGTGCAGTACGTAGCGTAAATCACGAGTGCGCACTTCGTCTGACGGGGATCGCAGGTGAAGCATAATAACGAATAACGGGCAGTGAGGCGCGAGGGTGCGATTTTCCAACTTGAAGAGAACGGGGCTCGTCTCCCCCCCAGATCGATATGTTGCATCGCTCGAGGATGTCAACATTGCACGAGTCTGGGCAATATTACGATCTTATATAGGTGCACTTTCTTCTCTCTCTCTCTCTCTCTCTCTCTCTCTCTCTCTCGTCTTTCTGTATATATTAGAATCGATATTATGATGTGAAAGAGTTTTCTGTTATCGGATATTTTATTATAGCCGACTCTCGATAATGTTTTCTTTTCTTCACTTGATGCTAGCTTCCATTTTTCTTTCGGATTATTATCTGAGAAATGTAACATAATATAACATAAAAAATTGAATTAGTAATATTAACATCATAGCAGTATGGGATAAGATAAATAACGTAATGTACAGATTGAAAAGAAATATGTGTAAAATACTTCTCAAGTGACACGATCGAGATTTCTCAGGTGCCGATTGCGTCAAGACGCTGCTATTATTAGCCGATCTTTTTGCCGTGATTGGGAATGTTAATTAATATATCTCGTAATGAAACCGTATAAAACACCTTCTGTGCTCGCTAAATTATCCGAGGTAGACCTCGATCGCCTTGATGCGCCGCCGTTACGCGCGAAAGCGGCGACTCCGATTTTACCGAAGGAGGACAATCGTCGTCGCTGTAATCGTCGCGGATATGCGCCATAAATTCAAACGACACATACATTTCTTTTCTTTGCAGGTCGTCCAGAATGGTTTAGAGATTCTCACGTATCTCGCGGATCGGATGGGTCACGACTTCAAGCCTTACATCTCCACTATCATTCAGCCGACAATAGACAGGCTAGGTGAGTACGAGGCGTATCTGTTCTACCCATTTGTCTCGCAGATCGTAAATCCACGAGGTGGAAATATATCGGCCGGTGCGATACGTCGCGCGAGCTGGGAAAATTTCTATTATTATTTATGGCGATCGGCAAAACGACGGCCCACGTCGGCCGATAATTGGCACCGACGAAGGCCTATATATTTCCGCTTGTAAATTCTGCGTGATATAGAGACGATCGAAGGCGACTTTGACACCGAGTATTAATTAGAAAGACTATACGATCCGTTAAACACGTTTGTCTTTGAAAGTCGACGACGCGGCGTATCGAGTGAATCATCGTATCGTTAATCGCGAAATGAATTCGAAATAGAACGCGAGCCGGAGGGAAGTTTAAACGCCTTTAATGAGGTTGAAGTCTATGACAGATGTGCACCATATTTGTCGAGAACCGGTCCGCCGATCGCTTTCAGCTGTCGCGCGAACCTGACGTCGAGATGTTTCGCACACGCGCATACGCATACATATACATATCCCGCTTATTCGACAATATCGCGATCGTCTCTCCGTTTTCACGCGTCCGATCAATTAACGATTAAATTCGTCTTTGTTATAGGCGACAGCAAAGATGCCACCAGGGAAAAGGCGCATTTGGTACTTCTGAAAATTATGGAGAAGGGATGCATGTCGCCGCAGAATCTTCTGGACAGACTTCGCCCGGCTTTCAATCACAAGAACGCGAAATTGCGAGAGGAAGCGCTGATCCTGCTGACGACAACACTGAACGAGTGAGTTGCGAGCTTTGCGTTTGTTTAAAATCATTTGTAAAAGACACCGCAATACTTACGCAATTGTTTTTGAATTTCTCCAGGCATGGAGCGGACGAGATGGCTCTATCGGGAGTGATCCCGAGCATCGTCAAGCTGCTGTCCGATCCTTCGGAAAAAGTTCGGGAAACCGCGCTGAGCACGCTCGCCGATATCTATCGGCACGTCGGCGAGAGATTACGCGTCGACTTGCAAAGAAAGCACAATGTGCCGCAAGCCAAGTAAGTGAAATGACCGGAGAAAGCAAGTCTCTTTCGGCTTTCGATCTGCATAAACTTTCATGGCCCCTAATCGCTATTCCATCGCTTCCTCTTTCTTACGAAATATTAGCTGATTGGTCGCGAGTGATCGATAAATACCATAAAATTGTCGACTGTGACATTATGTAAACTCTCGCTCCTTCTGCTCGCAGAATGCTCCTGTTAATAGAGAAGTTCGATCAACTGAAGGCCGCCGGCGATCTTCTACCTCTGGCGATGTCATCCGACGGTGAGTAGATTTATTGAATTCCCCGGGGCGCCGCGGGGTACCGCTTAATTTAAACACGACGGAGGACAACGCCGTGTGCGCGCCACGCGCACGCACCTCCGTTACATGCGCTGTTTCAAACGTTACGCTCGCGCCTTGTATCGTGCTGCCATCGCGCAGCCACGGGGTCTATCACGTACGCGATTCTACCTGCCTTCGCATGCAGGAAGGCCTCCGCACCTGCCGCCTCGCACGCCCCGCTCCGACTCCGCCGCAGCTCAGTGTTACATGTATACATCATGAATATTTACCAAGGACCGCGTGTTCCTCGATGTGACGGGAATGCCATGTATCGCTCGTCACGGTGCCGCGTACGGCCGCTGACTTCGATCTAATGACACGTGGATATCTCCCCGCTCGTATCGGAATCTCGCCTCCTCGCTTCCGGCGAAGAATAAACATTCGAAGTTTACGCAAGAAGTTGCGCGAGGTTTCGTTTCCTCGAACGGCCGATACAATAAGATCGGCTAATTCGCGCTATCCGCACCGCCGGCGGGATTGCATAATGTTGCACAGCGACGGGGACCGCGCCGGCTACGCGATATATCGGCGGTGTATTGTTTCAAGAGTTGTGCCGCGCCTGTAATCCACACTGCGGTTCTCCGAGGCTGCGCCCGGCTGCGAAAAGGGCGGCCTTGTAACGCCGCGACTGCTCGGGCTCGCCAGGTGTTCGAATTTCGATCGAATATTACGTGTCGCGCCGGCAACACTTGGCATCTTCTCGGTTGACGGAAAAATATCCGCGTCGATCGACGACGCGGGGCGAGAGAGTTCGTTCGGCGAGAATTACCACCGTCGTGCCGGCAATCCCGCTTGCACAATCGGTCGCGACACGAAATGTTGAGGCTGCTAAATACTTCCTCGTGTTACGCGACACTCAGCAAATATCATCCTCGTGTCTGTATGATCCTTATTTTCCTTTTCCGAGATTTATCGGGCATCCACGCGACATTCCTCGTGCCGGTGCTATTATTAATCGCTGTCGTTAATTATTACGCGATCCGTGGTAGTCGTCCGAAAGGCCAGATGGTTCCCATCGTTCGGTAGTGTTGTCTATCGTTCATTATAAATTATTCTTATCAATCAAAATAATTAAATCCCACGCTGTTATGACATAAATGTCAGTCGACGGAGAGGCTCGCTTAATGCTGAGAGCAATTAGGTGTTTTTAGAGATTTAACATTCTTTTATTCCACTAATCTTAAATATTAGAAATATGCAAAAGTTTCCGTCGCTCGTGTATAAATTATTCGCTCTAAAAACAGAGACTTCTTTTATTCGCTTTATTCATTTTTTGGTTGAGAAATGGCAAAAAGTGATAATTAATTGCCGGAAAATATTTTGTCTAAAATATTATCATTTATAAGATAAAGAGAATTATCTGAAAAATAATGGAAACTTTTGTACACCCTTAATATATTCACGCTACGACTTTTTTTCTCTCTCTCTTTCTCTCTCAATCATCGAAGACGCGCACAGCATCGAAGTTCGTTTTCTTCGCTACATCCCGTGCATACACATCGATCACGATTAGATCATACATGGGCTTGGCAGGAGAAGCCACGGCGCTTCGCTTGATTTCAGAGATATTAATAGAACTCAAAATACCCGTGAAGCGCTAATGACGATCTTCCGCGGAGCGCCGTTCATCCCCTTCATGGACATTCGAACTTCCGGTTGTCTTTCCGGAGAAGTTTCCGAGGGATCAATCTCAGGCGTTATTAGAGCAATTCGCGTTCTACGCGTTGATTACGAGTATCTGCGAGTGTTATATCTTTCGCAACGCTGCGCTCTGTATATTTTTTAAATTATAGAAATCCAGAGAATTAGCATCGTATATTTTATATGCGTGTCCCGCATAAATCAGAAACGTGTAATTTAATCAAAATTATTCCGTGCGGGGGAAGTTCGGCTTATCCTCGTTATTGGAATAATTCCGATTGGCAAGAATTAATCTTGGAGAAACTGTTATGTGTATTACACATACATAATATCGATACTTTTCTTATTCATTCATGCATAAACGCACGAGCGCTTGACACTCATGAATTCAATTTGCTGCTTTTTTTAAATTCGCGCATACTTCGCGCTGACGTAATCGCGCGTGGCACCCGTCCGTCCCGCTTTGACGGCTAAATCCGCGTTCTACGAATGAGAGAGAACCGCGCGACGAATTTTTTTCGCAGCGCACCGTAAAGGAATTTCTGTAGCGAGCAGGCCGATTAAAACCATCCTTGCGCGCGCGCGCGCGTTGCCAAGTTATGTGACTCGAAAAGGTTGTGCGAGCTCGACACAGGCGTGCAAAAATTTGCATGAGTCTCGTTTTCGCTCTCTCTTTCTCCGTGACCCCGTGCCCAGCGCGATTGTGTTAGAAGTTCACGTTAAGGCGCGATTTCTCCGGGACGCGCAATAATTCGCACAGCTTGAAACTGAAAACGCTTCATCTGGAAAATAAATTTCGCCGTGAAGTTTGCAGGATTGCAAATAAATATTGCTAACATTGAGGATTATAATTTGCACAAATTTGCTGATTACGATTCGTGACTTTTTAGCCGTTTTTTTTTTCAAATCCAACGTATATTTACGATCCGGACGCAGAATCGATCTCCGATATAGAATCGTTTCTAGAATCGATCTTCAAATGCGATACGTTAACGATTCTGATTAGAAACTTTGATTAAATTCTATTTCAAGCTTATTATACTTTAGATTCCCGCGCGACTTCAATTATAGCGTTTCAATCCTCACGAGAATAATTCGCACCGTGCATTTATTACTTTTCATGCGCTCGAAGACTACCCTGTCGCACATCGTGAATTCACAACGCCACCCGCGCTCGATCTTAAACTCGCGCCTTATTAACCGGCCTTACCCCGAGGGCAGCATGATGCATGCACACGTGCGCAAGTGAAAGGTGTAGGGTGGTAAATACGCAGATTTATCTCGGCAGCGCGCGGTACCACGTCGATCAGATATGAAAACAGAATAGCGACCGGCTGCTGCCCTTTCGTAGCGCTCGCTCGTTCTTTGACCGCTAACCTTTGCGCTCTCGGTCAATAAAACCAACTATTCACGTCGCGAAAATATTATTCTTTAATCCATTAAAACACCGGTCTCGCATAACAATCGCGCGTAATAAAGAATGGAATTATTTGCATCTTGTGTCACAGATTTACGATTACAGATAATGATTTAATAATAACGTCAACATTAATTCGAATTAAATTAATCCAATTTTTGTATGACTGTACGTATTCCAAGTCGCATTGATAACATAAATTGTTTATTTATACTTTGTCGTATATCTCTTCTCGAGACATCGTTGAAAAGTATAATAAATATGAGGAGCACATTTGTCAACGTTAAGCATGCGGGCCGTCGGAAATCAAAACACTCGGAGAATAAACGGGCCCCCCTTATTCGTATAAAAAGGGACAAATTGCTCTATAATAATTGTTTGTTTATCGCTCGCGATGGCGTCGCGCATGATAAGCGTGTTTGTACGTGATTATGCGTATATACGCTGTTATGTAACGGATAGGCATTATCGCTTGTGCTTCTCAGTGCGCTAGGCAGAGGCCGTGTGGGCGATTCTTCTTAGCGACGTCTCTCTAACGGACAGTGTCTTTTACACGCGAAAAATCGACGTTCACGATTTCCCGATGATCTCACAACGCGTGATGCCATGCAGAAAATCTATCATCGATCATCTAGCCGCGCGTGTCTCTTTTATTTCTTTTTTTCACCCGGAACTGCGTCCCGTTTTGCCCGGGGGTTCTTATTTGCATCTCGATAAAGCATCTGCTAGTCTATACAGTCTTGCGCAAAAGTATGGAGTGCTGAATGAATCACAAGTGCAAATTGTTTCACGCTAATTTCTGAAAAAAATTTTTTTTTCAATAATTACATTTTTTAGAAGCCACTTCGACGTCGCGTCATAAAGGTTTATAGTGTATTTAACTTGCGAACGAGGTGATGACATTGTTATTACCGAGCTCGTATCTATCATGGATCGAGGACAGACTTAATTCGATCGTAATTTGCCCTTAGGCTCCCGTTACGAGCAAAAATCGGGAAAGTGAGCGAAGCGAAGACACCACACTTGAGCGCGAAGTGAGATGCTGAAACGTTGCTTCTTTTTGCGCGAATGATTAATCGACGAAGGTCTACCGCGAATTCTTCACTAAATCCGTCTTTATTTGTTGGTTCGCGGTAATTTCTCGTGTCGATCGCACGATGCGCGATCAATGCTGACCAATTTTCTTCGTATTTTTGAGAGATCCACACGCGTCATTATTTCCTCGCTGCGACGAAGGCCGCCACGGTCTCGGGGGAGACCACCTAGTTTATCCGCCAATTATACGCGTCTCATTCTTTTTGCGAAGCGCAAAAAGCGGAATTCAAGCGCCTGCTTATTTTCGCTCATAATAGTGTCCGTAATGAATCCTGTCTCGCGAGCTGGTCGTTCGATTGCTTGCCGTAAATCAGCCTTCGGTCACTTCAAAAGCCAATTCCGTGCGTCAAATCGGGTCCTCAATGGGATTCGGCGACTTCAATCGCCGTCCATTTGTCGTTAATTGCTTATTTCTCAATTTGGGATTTATAGGCGTCGCTTGTAATCGCGAGGAAGAGTATATCCGGAAAAATTGATCAAACACTTTTCCCGAGTAACAATCGTAAGTTTCATCTCTCTCACGTTCCGAAATCGCGCAAACTCCTCGTGGGCGCGCGTTAATTAGCAAAGGAATTACATTACCAACTCGCTTTCACCACCGGCGCGATTCCCGACACTTGGGAAAAACGCGCGGTGGCCGCCCGTCGGAAATCGTGCGTTTTCCTACTTTTCCTCTTCGTTCTTCCGCAACTCTCCGTTCCGTAACGCACGTCCGTGTTGAATTTCTAAAGAGGTGGAGGGCAATGCATCGGCGGCGCGTAAGAAAAGAAGACATAACTCCTACCCG